TTAAATTCAAGATTTAATTTTTAAATAGGTATAAAAATTAAAAGTATTGTTTTTCTGTTTTGTCTATCAGTTTTGGTAAGGTGAATTTTTTCAGAGAATTTGTCCAATTTATCTAAATTTTCAAATAATTGACATAAGAATGTTGATTATGTTTTCTCCCGATTTTTAACAAGTCTGCAGGATGTGTCAAAATGTTTCTTATTTCATTCCTGATATTGGAAATGGGCCCTTTTTTTCTGGTTTATTTTTTGCTAGGAGTATATCAATTGTATTAATCTTAACCAACTTTTGTTTTGCTGGTTTTCTCTATTGTATTTTTTGTTTTTTCTATTTCACTGGATTCTTCTTTCATCTTTATATACTTCTCTATCCCTGGTGCTTAATTTGCTGGTCCTTTTCTAGCTTCCCAAGACGGGATCTTTGATCACTGACTTTTAAGCTTTTAAAATTTTATGATATAAGCATGTACACCTATAAATTTCCCTTCAAGCACTGCTCTAGCTGCATCATTCAAATTTTGGTATCTCCTTTTATTCTTCATCAAAATATTTTCTAATTTCCCTTGTGATTTTTCTTTGACTAATGGAAAATTGTTCTGTGTATTGCTTCTTTTCTAAATATTTGGTGATTATTTTTAGTTCCATTTAGTTACTGACTTCTGGTTTAATTCTCAGAAAACATGCACTGTACAGTTGTAATCTATCTTTTCGAAAGTTGGTCTATGCTAGTGATTATTCAGTATAAACTATAATTTCTATTCTGAACTTGTTGGCTTTAGAGTTATATATGTCAAATAGGTTCAATTGGCTAATTATATTGTTAAAAATCTTTTGAAGGCTTCCAGATAATTTTATCTGCTTTTCCTTTCTGCTACTAATAGTGGTATGTTAAATTTCCCAGTTTTAATTTAGGTTTGCCTTTTTCTCCTTTTAGTACTGACAACTTCTGCTTTATATATTTTGAAGCTTTGCTATTAACTGCATACATAGAATTTGCATGTCTTCAATTGACTTACAGTCACTGTGAAAAATATCTCTAGTACTATTGCTTTTATATCTCATTACTATTGCTTTGTGTGAACTTAAAATAGATTTTTAGTTCAATCAATTCTGCTTCCTCAACCTCCCAAGTAGCTGGGATTACAGGCATTCATCATCAAGCTCGGCTAATTTTTTACTTTTAGTAGAGGTGTGGTTTCACCACGTTGGTCAGGCTGGTCTGGAACTCCCAACCTCAGGGAAATATTTTGTCCCTTTCTGTGATAACTACATCTACTTTCTTGTTTGCATGGTATATCCTTTTCCAAATTTGCAAACTTTCTTAATCTTAAAATGTGTCTCTTCTCAACAACATATTGGTAGGTTTGCTTAATAATCTTTCACTTGAATTGTTTAGTACAATTAAATGTAACATAATTACCACATGCTTTTAGCAACATGTACTTGGTTTGCATAGGGTGCCCACTGTAAATAAATGTGAGAGGTATAGATTTATGGGACATAGCTGTCCAGAAAATGTTGTATCAGCTGTCTAAATTTTGGCATATAATGCAGCAATATTTGGTATAAAATATAGACATTTCTTGACCTAAATAGCTCCTTTTTAAATAAGTCATACCCCATAAGCAATGTAGGCATCACGTGGTAAATCTCAGTTAGGAAGGGCCTGCTGTGGCAAGTAAGAACTTGGGGAATGGGACAGGCAGTCCTAGAAAATTACCTGTACCTTTGCTATTAGTCAAGCTTGATGATGGTTAACATCTCTGACTCATATGTCTGATTTGATAATCTGATCTTTTGTGGTTGCCTGCTTCAACCACAACCACAATAATCCCTTTAGAGTGTAAGCTAGGCCATGTTACTCCTCTTGTTACAGGTAGTCAGGCATGAGCAGGGCAGAAGAGGGCTCTCCCACCCATTAGAAATGTTGAGTTCAGGCATGATCACAATGCCTCTCTAAAAGTGAGAAACTGGCAGCCAGTGCTAGGGAGAGGCCATTTCCTGATGGTCTGCACCTGCTGCACTAAAGCAGTAATTGAATACAGACACTAGGAAGAAGCCACTTCCTGGGCATGCGCATTAAGTGACAAAATTGCAGAGACTGACCTTCAGGGCACTCCACAGGAAAAGGGAAGAAAGCCTCAGATGGGCTTGTATACAGCTCCCTAAACACTGCGGGTGCTCACTTCTCAAGGGTAAGGGGGGCACTGCGCGTGCGGGCAGCCCACCCTAAGGGAAGAATCATGGGAAAAGGGCCAGCCTATAAAGTTCTAGCATCATTGTTAAACAGAGCACTTGACCTTGGTGCCAGCTTGGGTCTCTTCCAAGCACACTCTTCTTTCTTCCCTGCTCTAAAGCCTTTTAAATAAACTTCCACTCCTGCTCTAAAACTTGCCTCAGTCTTTTTCTGCCTTATGTCCCTCAGCTGAATTCTTTCTTCAGAGAAGGCAAGAACTGAGGTTGCTGCAGACCCATACAGGTTCGCTGCTGGTAACTCAAATACCTTCTACTGTTAACACTTTGACCAAATGGCTTTCTATTCATTTAGAGTAAAAGCCAAACTCCTATGATCATCTGAAACCATTATCAGACCTCCCCATTTCTCTTCTGTAGTCATCACTTATTAGTTTCTCCCTTTGTCACTCTGCTCAATAACCAATGCCCTCCTTGCTGTTCCAACTTGAAGGGCAGTTCTGTCACAAGCATTTGAACTAGAGTGACTCCATCTTGAGTAGAGGCTGGGTAAAATGAGGCTAAGGCCTGCTGGGCTGCATTCCCAGGAAGTTAGGTATTCTTAATCACAGTATGATAGGAGGTCAGCAGGATTGGTATCACAAGATACAGGTGGTAAAGACCCTGCTGATAAAACAGGATGCTGGAAATAAACCAGCCAAAACCTGCCCAAATTAAGATGGCGACAAGTGACCTCTGGTAGTCCTTACTGCTCATTATATGCTAATTATAATGGATTAGCAGCACCATGACAGTTTACAAATGCCATGGCAACATCCAGAAGTTATCCTATATGGTCTAAAATGGGGAGGAACCCTCAGTTCTGGGGAAATCCCCACCTCTTCCTGGGAAAACTCATGAATAATCTGCCCTAGCATATTATCAAGAAATAACCGCAAATAGTCATTTGGCAGTTCTTTGGGCTGCTCTACGGAATCGCCATTCTTTACTTCTCTAATAAACTTATTTCTCACCTTACTCTATGGACTCACCCCGAATTCTTTCTGGTGCGGGATCCAAGAACTCTCTCCTGGGGTCTGTATTAAGACACATTCCCTGTAACCATTCTATCTCAGGGCCTTCATTCTGACTTTTCCCTCCACAAGTTACTCACGATGGCTGGTCCCTTGTCTTTTTCAAGTCTACCTTCAGAGACTCCCTGACTATAAAGTCACCCCAACCCTCCATGATTGCAGGCCACACATCCCTTTACTCTGACTTGTCATCCTCCATAGCCTATATCACCTTCTCAGACCCCATGCAATTTATGGATTTATTATGTTTTGTCTCTCAACATAAAGATCCCTGAGATCAAAAATGTTTTAACTATTTTAGTCACTGGGTGCACAGTACTTTGTGAAACAGATGATTGAATCCTCCCCGTGAAATTCACCTGAATTCCATGTGTACATTTAATAATTTAAGCTATGAATCATCTGCATGTGTTTAAAATTTTTCATTGTGGCCTCTGTGGGTTTTGTAGTTGCTTTTTTATTATATTAGAGTCAGTGAACAATGTTTTATTTTATGTAATTTGTTGAGTCTTTCTTTATGGCTTAGTCCATGGTCAGTTTTAAAATTGTTCAAGTGTATTTGAAATCAACATGGGTGCCCAGTTTGTTGGGTGTAGCATATACATTATATAGTTTGCTGTGAAATCCAAATTCCTTTTTTATCTGAGAGTTTATGATTACATAGGACGCTTGTTTCAGTATAACAGTGTAACTCACTTTAGAATAATCCACAAACACTGTTAAGTCTGAATCACAGAAAGGAATCCTCTAGGTGCAGTGAGCATTCTAATCAGAAAAGTCACATTGCAGAACTGCCTACTACAAGCTCTTTATTTTTACTACTAATTAGCATGAAGACTGGTAACTGAAAATAATGAATGCAATAATGGCTTGTTAGAATAACAGGTTAGAAAATGTCCCTCACTGCTAACACCAGTGGTATTCAAGACAGGGAATCAGGACAGAACTGAGACTACTCCCTACCCTTACATAACCAAGGTTAAAGACTTTATCTAGCAAGGCCCTAGGTGATGCCTCAGGCTTACCTGTAAAATAGCACCTCCCCTCTCCAGGTTAGAAGATGGTTCATGATGATAACAAAATCTTGCCCCTAGAGTAGTCACAACCACCTTGTGACTACTCAAACCGTGAGTAAACTCTTCCTGCAAGGGGTGGTGGAGTGCCAAAAGAGAAAGCTAGAACTTCATTAAGCTTAGAAACTAGGTTGTTACAACTGTTTGGTGCCTGATTACTAATAAATGTATGTTTAATAAATGTCTGTATGCACAGCAGCATTTATAATGATATCTATTTTCACTATCACTAGCTGGTAAGGCTGCAGGGAATAGCTGAATGATGCTCACCTAAAACTTACCTAGCAATTATCTAGAAAAAACCTGGATGCTGTGAATAAACAAAATGGGTTTAGGTCAGTTTCCAATACCAATTTATGACTGACTATTTGTCAGTTTCTTTTTACAGATAAAAATTTTGGGTCATGTAATTATAGATAGTATTGGCAGGCAGACACAAGTTCTTGCTCGTTGTATCTTATTTTTGCTGTCTCTTTTAATGATTTCACCTTAAGTGTATCTTGGTTGCAACATACAAACTACACATATAATTATGTATGTTACATAGTATTTGCTTAGTATATTTTCCTATCCCTTATTTTTAGATTGGTTTCTATTATAAAATACACAATGAAAATAAAATATGAGATTAAATAGCCACAAAAACTTACCAAATTTTAAGATGCCATTTCTTTCAGATCTTTATTTCTCAAAAGGGTCAGAAGTCTTCAACAAATAGATTTTTTTTTAAATGCCAAGCTATCAAATAAAAATATAATATATACTACAGTATAAAACAGTGAAAAAAATTATCATAACCCTTTATATTTTGTTTTGTTTAGGCAAATTTTAACAGAATTAAACATTGGGCATCTAAAATTACAAGGATACGAACTAAAGTCAGTGTTACAGGCCCAGGACACAGCTTGAGTGGTATCATGGAGATAAATAACGTGGGAAAACGAAAAAATGTGCCAAGAAGCAAAAATAAAAGATGAGAGAGGAACAAGGTTGTATCTATTTACTAAAATATATGCATACTGGTACCTGTAAATTCAATGCAAATATCCCCAAATTCTGAAATTGTAATATAAAAAAAGTAACAGTGATAGATAAATCATATGCTAGAGTGAAATTTTAAAATACATTTCATATTTCTAGCATCATAAAAGTAAATCCCTTTGTAAGAGACCTATCCTAAAATATTCATCAGAAATACAGCTTGGGTAATAAATAACCATTTGATAATTACATAAACATGTAACAGATATGCTCTACATGTATAGTTTAAGTATATTAATATGAGACTTCTTTATGGATATACATCATATAAAAATAAATCATTTTTATATATTTTTTTTAAATGTTGGCACTGTCACTGTAATTTCACAAAAATTTGCTACTCAGTGAATCTCCCTATTTCAGGAAGCCTCTGCATGTCAGGACAGTCTGTGAAGTTCTCTGGGAAGCAAAGGAGGCGCTGATGGGGAGCAAAGGCTGCCTCTCAGCTCAGGAGAGCTCACAGGCAACAGGGCAGCTTGGGGAAGGTCACAGACACAAGAAGGGCATAGAGGGAAGGTACGTAAAATCAAATCAGTAAGTGTTGTTATATTGTTAAATGATCCAATCCCCAGTCCATCTCCTCCAAAAAATGTTAAAAGAAAAAATTTTTTTGAACATTTAGTGTCTTGGCACTGATAAAACCAACTTTTAGTATTTTCAGAAAAAAGAGCTTAATTCTCTTCTTTAAATTTCTGGCTCTATGACCAAATATCCTGAAGATAGCGTTTTTCTTCTTTTAAAGTGGCCAGGGTTTTCATCGCTTCTAGTTTGTCACCTCCAGCCTCTTTGCTTATTATTTCCACAAGGGCATCATTTACATCCTTGGCCATATTCTTAGCATCTCTAGAAAAGAAAATAATAAGATTATTGTTTACAAACAGGAATTTTTATCAAATCCTCCTTAATTCCCAAGTTTCTCATTTCCTTTGACTCTACCACCACAGTTCTTCCCTCCCTCTTCTCAGGATATCTCACACAGACCTCCCAGCCTCATTCACTCCCAGCCCAGGCCTTCGTCTACGTTGTCTGCTCTAAGAGGCAGAGCTGACCACACGGTTTCACATCTCCCAATCCTCCACAGGCTCCGGGTCCTCAGAGCAGGCCAAGGATTTCCTAGGTGTCAGGGAAGCATCTAAGGCCCCACCTCACTCCTGCTCACCTGCTGGCTTGCCCCTCATTTCCTGCCCTCCACTCTCAAGGCACACAGTGGACTCATACTCCTGAAGGGAACCAGATCTCTCGTATGCTTCTAGGTCTTTATACACATAGAGTTAGTAACAGACAACTTTACTGAGGAGTTAGTATGTGCCAGGTCCTTTTGAAGTGCTTCTATATCTTAATTCTTCAGAGGTTAGAAACAGGTACGTAAAATGGTACTGAGAGTGTACAATGCAAGCATTAACTTTCACCACTATTTCCCTGATAATAACAACTTCTGGGCTATTAAATATGTCAAAATAATTTCAGAACTTCTATGTCTATTCCTGTATTGAAGAATCATGTCTTTTCCCTGCATATGTAGATTACTGGCTTCTCAGTCTTTTGTTTCTTCTACAGACATCACCAGTGGCCCTCTCCTACCCGACCTGGGCAGCAAGATGACTACTCACCCACACACATAAATACAGCCATTCTCATGGAGGAGGATTCTCGCCACCTGCTTGCCATGAAGCTGGATGTTGTCTTGCACGTACTTTGCTGGGGCTTCCTCCTCCCCAACAGGAGCATCTCGTGAGAAGGAAACTTTTAGATGAGTTAAGATCCCATGCTTAAGGAAATGTCTGAGTTCTTTTCTGAAATATAATATATAACAGATCACTAAAAAGTTGTCAAGTTGAAAAAGTCTGAGAATTAAAACTGTACACTCAGTGGTTGAGTACAATACTGGAACTGTACAGTACCTGAATAGATAATCCCTATCCTTATGCCGGCAGCCAAAAAACAACCACATTGCTCCAAAATTTCCATCTGGGTGTTCTTCTTGGAGTTTCTCTCTAAGTGGAAAAAAAAGTTTAGGTGTGTGATATAAGAAATATGTAAAACCAATCTCTTTCATTAGGAACTACCACCGAAAAACTCAGACACATTTGTAAAATACATCTCTGCAGCTGAACATTCAGTCATTTAATTCACATTTTACTCTCCACAGGCAGTCATGGCCACTCCAGCAGACACCACACTAGGCAAGTGTGTGGAGAAGTGGCTACATAAGACACACAAGAAATGAGGACAATTCAAAGTATCACACTGTGAAATCCAGAGAGAGTTCTACATTCAATAATGTTAATAGCAATTTAATGAATAAATAAATTCTTAACATGGAAAAGTGGCACAGGGCTGGTAGAATGTACAAAGTGTCTATGAAATGATGAACACACTCGTCTGTAACTATGCTTTTGCTTCCTTAAGGAAAAAATTAAAATGAAACAAAATAACTGTCCGAAGGACAGGACTCTGCTACCTGAGGAACAGTACCTTAGACTTGCTCATTACTTCACAAATATAAACGGAAGTGTGATTTTATTTACTTATTTCATATCAAATACTTCTGATACAAAGTTACACTTATTAATATTCTGTTGGAACTTACTGATGTTTGAGTTTAATGTTGAAACTTTTACTATAATTGGATCTGTCACTACCAATTTTATCCAATTAAGGGATAGATACAACAGCTGTGTATATCATCACAGTACGAAGGCATGCCCAACATTTGTCCCCAACTATATATGCTATAAACCATAGTGTAGCTGAAAAAATAAAAACTCAAAGTGCCACAGGAAAAAAGGGAGTTCTGGACAAAGCAAAACCTCTATATTATATGTTTACTTTTTCCATGGTGACAAATTATGTTATCACACATGGAATAATAATCTTTTAAATAAAAATTTTACAGTCAAAGTCCGATTATCCTAAAAATGACTAAATGAACAACAAGAAAAGGCTACTCAGGAATGCATTTTCCCATTAGCCAAAAAAAGAACATACCTATGTTGTAGGAACCCAATAAACGGTGCTATGCCGGTTCCTGGGCCCACCATTATGATGGGGATTGAGGGGTCATTTGGCAAGTGGAAAGAATTTGTTTTTCGAAGACAGATGGAGATCTGAAATATTAAACCAAATGTGTAAGTATGAAAGAAAACTGAGGCAAGAGCAAATAACCAAGATGATCTTTGCTAAATAAATCAAGAAAGGGCAAATTCCCATCAAAAAAACATCACTAAATAGCAGCATTTGATTTTATTGAAACCATGAGAACATTTGTCACTACAAAAAGAAATTTGTCTTGCAAATTTTTCTTTTTTATTAAAATAAAAAATGCTTTAAAAAAACGACAGGTATCATGTCTGTAAGTAGAACACTACATAGGTAATAATCAAACCAAGTTTCTTGGTCCATGGGTAAGATTTGCTTTCTAGTGGGCAGCCAATAGTACATATTATGGAGAGATGCACTCTAAATATGAATATATGATTCTTCATGTTTGTAGATGAAGGCCAATAAAGATTAGTATCACAATGAGGTTGAAAATTTTTAAATAAATATCAGGCACCTTAAAAAGAAATTAAGGGGCTGCTCCAAATATTCTAAATAATGGTGTTGTATTTGCTATTCTGGGTCCAATATTACCAATAATTATCTTTGTTATAACTAAATAAAATCTTTAACAAAATGTTAAAAAATTCCAGTTTCACTGTCATATGCAAAAGTCATACTGAGTGATATAAGGTTTAAGAATGACAGGACTCCCCTCCACCTTGCATGGTGGTGTAACTGTATACATTTTAACTGTTAATTCAAGGACAACTGTAGGAAGTAATAAGAGCTTGAACACCATACCTTTTAAATGAAGGAATGGCAGAGCTGTGTCTCATTACTGCTCTTACTTGGGAATGAAATTAGTTAACATTACATTAGCCTTATTTGCTTCATTCATTTAACAGATTTACTGAAAGTATTTACTGTGACAGGCATTAGGGATACAGAAATGAACACAACAACACTCCTGTCTTTATGGAACTTACATTCTAGTGACAGGAAAGAAAATAAACACACACATTATCATGTATATCCAGAGAATGATAGGTAATGACTTCCTAATGTGTTAGGAAGCAAAATTACAGAGGGTAAGGAAATGACGAGTGTGGCAGTGAGCTGCTCATTCAAACACCAATGTCAAAGAAGGCCCATGTCTACCATGAGACCTTTGACCACGATCTGAATCAAATGAGTTAGCCACGCCAGAGCATGCTCTGGCAGAAAAGAAAAAACATGTGCAAAGATCCTGAGACAACAGCACACTTTCTAGGTACTGGGGCTTTCTTCCTCGAAGGCTGCGGGCTGGCTGTGGTGCTGCTTCACTTGGGGTCTATGTGGAAAGAGCATCATGGCAGATGGGAAGAGGAAGAGAGCCAAGCTATGCCATGCCAGCAGGGACAGTGCTCCAGCTCAGATGTGGCAGATGCACACAGCCAGGCTGAACATCAGTGGCAGAGTTAATCTGTGAACAACTGTACTATCTGCCACAGTAGGGCAGGGCGTGTGATAGGTCTTGCAAAGGTCAACATTCTCTATAATTTGTAATAAATCATGGTACAACTAAACACAGGCAATTTCATATAGTTTTAAATTGTATTCTTGATATCTGCACTTCTAGTGCATACAGATGGGATAGTCAATAAAAATCTGTTAAAATGGGAAGGAAGGAGGAAAAGAGGGAGGGACGAAAGACGGAGCAAGTGAAAGGCACTCATGCTTAGTGTTTATGATACATGATAAACACACATTGTTTTTAATGTTCTGAAGATCATCTGCTATCTTTATACAATCACCAAGTGACATAGACTTTTATATCAGTACTATAATACTTCTTCTCAAAAAAGAAACAGCTTCTGTAAGGTTCCTAATATTTTTATGTATAATAAATATATGAAGTTTAATGAACACAGTAAAGTATTTCTCTGTTCCAGGCAGCAGATTTGAAAAATATCAAGTTAAAGGGCAATTTCAAGCAGCAATCATCCCTTAACCTCTCAAGTATATCCCAGGAGCTTTTCAATTCTAATAGCTTTAAAAAACCAAACTGGACCTAAGCCAACACTCCAAGTGAATCACTGATTTCTTCATTACCATGAAGAAAGAGGCCTTTATGATAAAGCCTGAAATGTTGCTTTATTTCAACCATTCTGTGGGCAAGAAGGTACAACTTTAAATTGTTTCCTATACACGTGGTCTTGAAATTCTGCTGAGTGCTGTATCAAAACATAAAAAGGTGTCAGTAAGTCCCGGTGTAAATGTGTCCATAATCTGTTCAAAAAATCACATAGCCCTTTACTCCTAGGTGCTGTAAAAGTATTTACCACCATAATGTCTTCTCAGTAATAGCACAAATTCAGATATCACACACCACAGATAAAAAAGCAGAGAAACAGGGATACGGGAATCCTACTAGCTAAAACTGGACAATATAAAATTAATCTTTAGTTGCCATCAGCCTCCCAATGTAGGACTACTTATTTGAGAGGCAGGATACAGCTTCAACATAAAATGAGATTGTCTCTCCTCACCCCCTTAAATACTTGCTGGACTCTTCTCCACTCCTCCCTTGGCCAATGTACCAAGAATATCTACAGAAAAGGTCTTTTCCATGAACAGGACAAGCAAAGACCGTACTATATAAAATTCATGCTTTACACATTCAAAAAATACACACACTAATTAAAGAGTATATGGAAGTAAACAGTTTTCTGCTCTTCCAACAGAGATTTTAAAATTCAAGAATAGAATACATTTTCTTATGACAGTAATGAAAGATGTGGGCGAGGCAACATTGGTTTTTCTAATCAAAGAGTATGAGTTCACAATGCTGAAGTTAAGGTGCTAGTACCTTAGGAGCCAGGACTTGCCTGCTGTCTTCATGGGACGCATATGTGTCTGGCTGAAGAATTGAGGCAACCAACGAGGCCAGCCAGCCTGTACACACTCCCTTCCGCACAACCTCTGCTGTGGCAGTAGATAGAAATTCCACAATGTTGAAGACAAAATGAAGCTTCCCTGGGTGAAATAAACTTGAGCTGCAAAGACAGACAGACAAGTTTTGAACTTGGTATCAGTACTACTACACATACGGGTCAAACTAAACCTTTTTTTACTCAATTTAGAAATATTTCCTCACAGGCTCTAATCTACCTTCCAAATCCTCACAGAGGAAAGCCATTACTATGTAATTAAAACCTGCCCCCCAACCCTCATACCCTCACATTTTGTGGTATCATTCGAGAAAGTTTCCAATTTTATTTGCTTGCACTAGGACTAAATAAGATTTATAAAAACTAATATGTTCTAATGATCTTCATGTAAAACACTCATTCACTCAATATTTATTATAAACTTTTTACCAGGTGAAGGAATAGGGATAAATTCTAACAAATATCCATATATTATCTACTGGTAAGATGATAAAACTTTAAAGTAACTGAAGTATACACCCAGAAAAGAGAAAACTAAAAATTCAAAGTAAAAGCATCTTTAAAAGACATTCCTACAAAAACATATTTCTTTTCACATGACAGGGTAAATAATGCAAAAGATCTCAAATTCATTCTTAATTCCTTTTTCAACCAAAAGAATAGTTCACCTTCTTGTATTATTACTGAAAGACAAAACAGAGAGCCAAATGGGAAAATGGTAGAGGCTTTGCAATGAAACAAAGGCCAGCGGGAGAATCCTATAAGCCAGTGCTCATCAAATGTTTTACAGTGGAACTTTTCTGTCTCCCCTCTCTTCCACAGCTGCTCGGTGAAGGTGGCTGGGCACATCAACACAGAAGCATGTGGAGGAGCCTGAGACTCTCCTTAGTGGGGAAACACGGTGCTGGGCCGTGGGGAGCCACCCAAGATGTTAAAATCTATGAAGTCCCAGAGGACAGGAGCTCTGTGATTCTTCTTCCGCTTCATTACGCCTGGTACTGTCTTCCATAAATCAGGTAAGTTTTCACTGAATAAATTAGTAAACTAAGGATTTGGAAGCTTGAGTGCCCTAAGATTTTAGAGAAATGACGCTAAATATTATCTGAATAAATATTAGTACCTTGCACATGAATATGGTCTGGGTTGGAGTTTAGGAAGATGTTCTAGAAAAAAAATAAAAGAAGCAACTATTAGTTCACTACTACTGAACATAACCTTACCTAAAAGATAAAAAAAAACAGTAATAATCCAAAGGCCTAAATTTATCCATGTCTTATTTAGAACACTTAAAACATGTCCTAGTTTTAAATATGATTTAAGAGCATGTATAAACTATATGTGTTCAAGTAAAATATTACTATTTTTTTCCTTCAATTCCACAAGTTAAAAACCAGATATGATGCATTTCCTTACTCCTAAATCAGGATTTCTACTCATATGCTAGATTTTTAAAGCTAAGGCTCCTAGTAACAGGTCCATGAGTAAGCCCTTATTTGGTTTGTGCAGTTTTCTACAGGAAGGTGTCCACTTTTCAGATTTAAAATAAAGTCATGATCCCAAAAACAATAAAGGCTATTCTTTTATGAATTACTGAAAATACTTAGCTTGAAATATTTTCCATCTTACATTTATATAATTAAAGTGTTTGGTTTTTAAAAATTATCAAAACATTCAGTGATTTAAAAATACATAGGTATTCTTTCAAAAGCAGGTTAAGGAATCTATATTTAAATATCTAACTGTCCACTAATAAACTTTGAAATGTTTACGTTTTGGTATGTTTTATTTTTAGCAGTTATTTGATTGAAAATTTGAAAAAATCTATCTATAATGGCTTAGAGTTTCAATAAACATCAAAATAACGTGTAGTAGGGTGTTTGACTTAATATTCAACTTTAGATATTTTTATTTTTCTTGAAGAAATTAAAAAATAATATAATTCTTTATAAATCCCAATGACTTTAATTTTTTTATACAACTATGTAATAAGTGGTATTGTTACAAACATACTAAAAGGTAACAAAAAAATCTACAAAATAATTGAACTGAATTAGTATATGATAAGAACTTTCCAATACTACTTAGAACTCCCCACCCTGTGTTCTGTCATCCTAATCCTGCTGACAGTTCTCGGAAACTTCACTGAAGAAGGAGAGAGGACCAGCCTAAGGACAGGATGGCGAGAAGAGCAGCCTCACTCAGCAACACAGTCTTATCATTTTGGGGAGGTCCTACGTGGAAAGAACACTAAGAAAAAGGAGGAGAAATCAGGACCTGGCTTGCAAAGGAGGGTGCCTATAACTGTACTGGGTATAAAAAAGGATCTTGCTGGCCTAACAGTAAAATGGACAATACACAATTTGGTGTCACCAAAGACAAATGCAAATGTTAAAGGCATGACTACTTATCACTATGGGAAAGATGATAAAATTACAAGCACAGGAAAGTAATAAAGGCTTCAAAGTCCTACAAAACTCTCAGTCTTCGCCCCTAGCAAGCATTTTCAATCCTTTCCTGAGAGGCAGAAAGGCCCCGTGACACTGACTACTCAGGGACAATGCTGAAGTCTTTTCTGTTGGAGTATGAGAACTAGAAGAGTCAGTCTGGGCAAAAAAAAGGGGGTTACCTTTCATCTGAAATGTGATGGTTCTCTGCCTGGCAGTACCCTGAGTATGTCAACTTGTACTGGTATGACACAATCCCCTTTTGCTCCTGAAGGACCCTTGATCTGGACTTGCTCAGATGGGGGCATTTCTGCATATAGAGTACAGACTGCATCAACCTCTATCAATTAAATATGATGTTCCTTATCTTTGAAAAAGATAGCTTTTTAATGAAAAGCTCATTTTTAGACATTTAGCTAAACAAGCCTTCTGAAAAAAACGTTAAATTAGAAAAGATGGTCAATCCTGAGCCAAAAAAAATAATTACAACTATATTAAGAGAGAAAACGATAGTGACACTGCTGGAAGACAGAAGACGAAATCAAAAGTTTGGAAGTGGAATTCTGTGACTTCCAGAGGCAGCACAGATGTCACAGTGCCCTAAGATGTTTACTTACCAATCAACACCATTCATTTAGATGCATTCTCACTATGCACAGAATACAAAGGGTAAGATAAGAGCAGTAAATTTTCTTTACTACAGAAAGGTGGTTCACCTACCAGTGCAAGACAGCCACCACGGTGCTTGTGAAAGTGACTACTCACCGAGGAGGAGACTGAGCGGTGGCTGGCAAGAAGGGAAAGTGAGGAGGAGATCCAACAAGCAGGCACAGGCGTTGCGCACAAAGCGGTTATAATCGGCTGCCCCTTGTTTACTGCACAGTTCCTGGAGCCTGCGCTTTTCAGCACTGTCGCTGGTATAGTCCACAAGGGCTCGCAAAAATGCCTACAAAAAGGAGGACACCTTAAATCATGACACACTCTGTGGGCAGAGCTATTAGAATACTCAGTCAAGTATCCACCTGGGGATGCACCCAATTACCCAAAAAAAAATGAGAAAGCCACTAGAAGTTGTTGTCAGGAGGAAGGAATTTAATTTACCATTTGCTTTAATGTTAACCTGTTGGAAAAATTCCACAATAAATAAAAATAATAAAATTCTGAATTCTAATTCTCAAAGTCCAAACTCCTGGACAAAACATCAAACTTGCTAATAAAAACGTTTTATTTCAATGCAATTACAAGCTATTAATTACATGCATACATAGCTTATTTCTCAAGGGCTCTTTAAGAACAAAGCACTTCAGTAATTATCTGCATCAAATGTTACATGAAATGCTAATGGGTATTGCTACTGTAAATTCTTGGCTCAGATGATTGTGTCCTGGATTGCCTTAACAGGCAGACAAAATCACTGTTCCCAAAGGAGTCACAGGTTTCCGAAGGCTTTGCTGAAGAATCTGTCTAAAATACCTAGACACTAACAAATGACACGTGTTCCTCCAAGTGCCAAACTCAATGTTGAACAAAAACGAGAACTCAGGAAAGGCTGCTGAAAGCACACCCCAAATCTCTGCATAGACCTTTGGCAAGATAATAAAAAATCTACCAATAACGCTTTGTAAATTCTAAAGCTAATACAATCTCCTATATTAAAAGCTAAAACAGTGACAGTTTTAAACGCTTGCTTTATTCACTCTAGAACAACAAAAACTTTATAGTACTAAAACAGGAAATACTGCACTATTTTTGGAGAACAAGCTGACAAACCTGACAAACATTACTACAACTTAAACCGTAAATATTTTTAAAACAGCAATTCTACTCCAAGGAATTTTTGTTTTACAAACATATTTCAAGTAAGTGTGCAAAGATTAATACAGTACAAGAATGTCTGCCTCGCTTTCTTAATAGTTGAAAAAGCAAAAATGACTCAATTGTCCATAATTACATCAACAAATTATGGCATATCTATAGTAACCATTAAAACTCTTTCCATCCTGAAATATACAGATACTTGATTTGTTAAATAAAAAGGGCAAGTTATAGAACAACACATGTAACACGGGCCCCCAGTTTTTTCCTCCGGAAAACAAAATTCAAGTGTCAACTCTGAGAGTTTGATTATAAAATACTTTGGTTTCCTGGGTTATTTATTTCTATATCCAGAATGTTTCCAATGAGCTACTATTTTAAAAAAAAAAAAAAAAGAAAGAAAGAAAAAAGACACATACACACACACACACTTTACACAAATTTTAAAGCAGAGCTGAACCAAAAATCTCATCAAAGTAAATTAATTCTAAATTTACTCAAATTACATCTCTAGCTGATTACCAGGAAAGGAAGATGGAAAAAAAATTATGTGTGTCTATGTGTATTTAGGGAGAGCTGAGTCTCTCTCTAAAGCAGTTTACTCACCCAAGACTAGAAATACAATAAACATATTAATAAAATGATACCAAAATCACACTGGGGAGATGATGGTCTAATTACAACACTCTTCTGCTCATATCAATACAAGTGTGGCAAGGCACAAGTGAAAAATTTTATCCACTAATAGCCACTTCAGGGAACTGGTTAGAAGACATCAGTTTACAAGTAGTTTTAAAAAACAGTTTCTGGTACAATACTGACATCTAGTGGATTGTTCTACCTCCAAGTTCATGTAAAAATTGATTTTTACCTACCAAAACCCGTCCATTTCTCCTGAAGCATTCTGTTACAGCAATAAATAGTTATGTAGTATTACACAAAGGAGATCTTAACAACTGTGGCAAGTGGCAAGTGGTGGTGGGGAGAATCCTAAGCTCTCATTAGCTTTCTGTCACCAATTAAAGCCGCAGCAGTGACGTGTACCTGGGTAACACAAGGTCAACCGCAGTCACCTCCATCACTATGGAATGTGCTACACAGTTAATGACTAGTAAAAATAAGACTAAGAAAAAGCCCTATTTCAACAATCTCATTTCAATAGAAAACAAAAATTTTAATGCAAATACAACATAAAAAGATTTGTGTATGACAGTTATGATAGCACACACCCTTCGGAACTAATATTAAAAACATGCTACGAAGATCATATTTTTTAACACTGCAAAGGGCAGATTCTAGATTTATTTAATCAATCCTAAACAAAGCTAATAAGCATATTTTAAAATAGTTACCTGAAGAAGACAGAAAAAAAATACCTTTTTAGGAATTGCTCGTATTTCAAGACACCAGGTAAAAATGAACTGGAGAGAACATCTCGCAGGTATATGCTGGGGTAAGGCAGCTCCTTTTCAGGTAAAGACAGGAAAGGGGTCCATGACATAGAAGATAAAGAATAAAATGTTTTACACTCCCCAAAACACAATTACCATAGTACTTTACAGCGCATCAAATTGCAATACAATTGTTGGCAATGCTTATTCAGCCAAAAAAATTTCCCGAAATGAATATAGTAAAAAAACTCTACCTTATAAAAAAGATAAAAATAATATAAATTCAAGATAAGCCAAATAAAAGAAAGGAAAATTACTGAAAATTAAGGAACAAAAAGCTAAAATGACAGCAGAGCTCCATTAGCATTATTCTCAAAAAAACATTTAGGGTCAAGATTCTAAGCAAATAACTAATATATTTATATTTTGAAAAATAACTTCTCAATTATGGACAAAGCAATTATTTTATGTAATAAATAATTGCAGTAAGAAATATACTATGAGACGTAAACATAACAGGAAAATTTTATAAAAGAACCTGGTCCAATGCTTCTCAAAATCTACATTTACACTTACTTTTCATGTCCACAAATGTCCAATAATCACAATATCCATTATCTTTGTATTCAGTGTAATTAACATAAAAGTTAAGAAACCAGCAATACCAGTGCACACCTGTGTTCCTGGACCCTGAGGCACAGCTGAGCCCCAGCCATCTGTGTGGCCACCACACAGGACACTGATCCTTAGCGGCACACTCTCACCATAAGTTCCAGTCCTCTGGCCCATAACACCCAGATGTCACAGCATCAGGGCTGTACCTTTCTTCTTTGTGTCTGCCTTTACTTTCAAAAGGACACAGTGCTCTCTTTTATCTTCAAGCTGCAGTCTTTGGAGTAGGCTTTGTACCTCAGAATCACTGTTAGGACATATCACGCTGAAGGCATCTCCAGGCTGATAGGAAAAATCTGTTTTCTAGAGAAGAACCAAAATGAAAAAACCCAACAACTCCATTATATGTGTTACATACTTTAAGCTGTAGGGTAACAAAAATATAGTTTACGTTATATTATGAGTTTAATATATGAACTCAGAAAGAAAATAATTCTAATTCCAAAAAAAAACTTTGTTTTAATAAATAAGCCCAACTAACCAAATGAATGTACTTTCATTATAAGTACTATTAAAAAGAAATCCAGTAGTTATCCAGTGTTTTGCCTTTTATCATTGCATGCTTAATAAATGGAAGTCGGACTTCCTCGTTCTCACAAAGTAAGGGCCTATGGTGTTTTCAATAACCCATGTAAATATAAAAATCCATCTTACAAAAACATACATGTGCACACACACAAGAACATACATTATGACTGAATGAAACTAATCATGATAAAATGATTGGCTTTCAATTTTCTTCTCCTTACTTTCCTCTTTTCCTTGAGGGGGTAGGAAAGGATCTTTTTCCCTGAAGTATAAAACATTACACCATCTGGCTTGATATTGGTTGTAAGCAAACGTGGGCTGGAAAAGCCACCACTTCCCAAGTCAAGTCTATTCCCAGGCCCATTGCCTCCAAGCCTCAGGGCGACACAGATGCAGGCTACGGCCCTGGGAAGAAGCCTCTCACGACACAAGCTCACATTTCTTACTGGCAAGGGAGACAAACTGGACTAAGCACAGACCAACCCTTGCCTCTTTATGACAAAAATGTAAAATACCAGAATAAAAAATATTTTAGTCTACATAGTATTAATACTTATGGATGCAAAACCATCTATTTTTGACACATTGTATTTTTCTCTGTTAGGAAGTTCAATTAAATCTACACAGACAGCCTTAATGTGCCTTTGCTTTTCTGAATAAACAACCCACTTAACCTCTCAAGACTTTCATAAAATAAAGGGTTTGAGCTAAATATCTTTGAAGAGGTACTCAAGCACTAGTTTTAGGATTATCAATCAGTTTCTTAACAGCAGGGTGGCCAGGGTGGGAAGGGGGCCCACGGACGGGGCACACAGAGGCACACCTCACACTAAAACTGTATGCAAATGTTTCCATAATACAGTTGGCCCTCCATATCCTTAGGTTCTCCATCCTCAGACTCAACCAACCTTGGATGGAAAATATTTGGGAGGGAAAAAACAGTAAAAAATAACAACAAAAATAATGTAAAATTTAAAACACAGTATAGAAACTACTTACACTGTGTTAGACTGTAAGTAATCCAGAGATAAAGTGTAGGGGAGGATGTACACAAATTATATACAAATACTGTAACATTTTACATAAGGGACTTGAGCTTTGAGGATTTTGGTAACTGAAAGAGGTCCTGGAACAAATCTTTTGAAGATACTGAAGGAGAAGTGTAATTATTTTTCAGGAGAGTCCATAATTTTTTCTAGATTCTCAAAGAAATCAAAGCTACTGCTCTGAGGAATTAACCCTAATCTGACTGCCTAGGTTCTATTTTTCTTTTCTTTTTTTAAAAAACTGAGACAGGGTCTCACTCTGTCACCCACGCTGGAGTGCAGTGGCATAATCACAACCCACTATAGCCTCAACCTCCTATGCTCAAGCAATCCTCCCATCTCAGCCTCCCAAGTAGCCCGGGCTACAGATGCATGCCACCATGCCCAGCTACCATTGTATTTTTTTGTAGAGACAAGGTCTTGCCATGTTACCCTGGCTGATCTAGAGCTCTTGGGCTCAAGTGACTGCCTTCGGCCTCCCAAAGTGCTGGGATTACAGGGAGAGCCACCTCGCTGGGCCTTAGGCTCTATTTCTAATTATGTGGCTGACCTTAGGTGAACAGCTTCCTTTCCTGGACTTTGTATATATAAAATGCTGTTCTGATCCCATTATTCTTTCATGGCTTATTGAGTAAGGCAGAATATCTTCTCAGGCTGAATCTCCCCTAGCTATTCCTCATCCTAGCCCTTCCTTGAAGTGGAAAAGAAAATAGGGGTGGAAAGAAAAAAATGATGGGTCAGGAATAAAATGGCGAGATGTCCTGTCAGAGACCTCTCATCCTTCTGAGCATATATAACCAAGCATCACACAACTCTTTCTGCACATCTTGACAATATGACTGTGTTGAGAAATAAATTTTGCAACTTACTGAAATGTCCAATTCTACCAGCAGAGTGGTTTTTATGGCATCATTCGTAGTAAGCTGAACTGCCTTTGAAATTGGAACTTGAAAAATTGGATCTGCTGAAATCACAGATGCTTGGCTTTCCTATTTGAGAAACATGTGACAAAATATAAGTGCAATTTTCAATTATCCCCTTCTTTCACTTAGTGACTATGCAAGATCCATAGGGTCTTACAAAACTTCCTGGCTACTTAGTATTCATTTCCAAAGTAAATGAGTACAGACATATGGAGCTAGCTTTTCAGAAGAGAAGCTCAATACCATTTCAAACCCTTTGTCTATTGGACATTACAATTTCTGAAATACACATAGAAAATACAAAATACTAGCATTTTCATGTAAAGATCTAGTATTTTTCCTAACAAACTATGTAAAGGCAAACAGTATATACGCAAATGTTTCAGGAAGGAGAGCTTAAAGGAAATGACAGGTGTTTAAGGTTGCAACATGTGTGTGTAGATGGTCATAGGAACCCCCTAGTGTGGGGCAACGCTGTTCATATGGCTGCTGAGCAATTGAAATGTGGCTAGTGTCACTAAGAAACCCAATTCTTAGTTTTAACAAATGTTCATTAATTTAAATTTAAGTAGCTATATGTGGCTAGCAGCCCCTGTACCGGATACAGCAGATCTTGGAAAACTGCAAAAATATCAACTCTTTATACTACTCCCTATTCCTTTTCTACCTTAATATTCCTAAGTTTAAAAACAGAAAATATTTTATCAATATTTTATCAGTTAATTTATTGTTGTTAAGTGGCCGTATGGGAAAGCTGGGAATGAGGGTCAGTTCTGGGTGTCTGGGAACCATAATGTGGGGGCACTGAGATGCACCCCTAAGAAGACTGCCTTCTGCAAAGGCTGTGGCAGTGCTGACTAAGTCTGCCACCTGCAAGAACCACCTCAGCATTTTCAGGTCACACCTTGCCCTGACCACACCTCCTTCAGAGGCAGCCCACATCCAATATCTAATCAATGACTACAAAGGCCCAGCCTCTTTGTTCCAACTCAGGATAACTCCGAATAGCCACCAGCTCCAGAGAACCCTGTGGGATTGTTAGGCCTTTGCTGAGGCTGCATAGGAGTGTACCTTCTCACTGTGCCCAATCCTGCTTCCATCTCTCCAGTCCAAAGATGCTGCCATCAAGAGGATGCCCTAAAAACATCTCACTGTTTCACTCCTGGGAACCAGCCTAGGACAGCCAGTGCCCAGGTAGCCTGAGAAAGGTGCTAAAATGGAGTCTGGAGCTGGATCATCTTCCTGGTTGACAATGAGAACATCACACCAGAGAGAGAGCAGACAGACAGCACTGGCACACAGCAACAATGCAACTGTAAGTAGCAGGGAGAGCCAGTGGAAGCAAACGCATTAGCTTGCAAGATTCATCAGATGCTTGAGAACTATGCAGAAATAGAAGAGAAGACTGGTGGGACTTTGGGGGCTACTGCTAAACTTCACTCACCCTTGAAAAAAAATGCAAAAAGCTTAAATGATGAAGTCAACAATTAAGAATTAAGTATAAAAGCCAGGGGACATCCTCCGGAGCATAGAAAATGCAGTCATCTCATGCAGCCCACAACACCAAAGGCAGAGAAAGCCAAGGACTAACCAGGAATAAAATACTGAATACCCAGATTCCCTTAACTCTTTGAGCCTGCAGCTGTGGCCAGTCCTTCCCATTAAGAGTAGGAATCCCCTTCTTACACCTGGATGATGTCTGCCCACAACATATCCTTTAGCTCCCGTCACACCCCATCCCCTCTCCTGGTTGCTAGACTGACAACTGGGGTTGTCACGACACACTCAGCCACTGAAGCACTGGGCCAGCTAAAGGTAAGGGGCTAACCCCTAAGAAAGTATATGACAAACACCATGCCCCCACGGGAGCCAGGAGAGTATGCACACGACAGACAGCTGAGGTCCTAGACTGAAGAGGGCAGGACACAGATGTAATAAATGGGTAGCCCACAAAGGCACTGGATCAATCCTTACAATGAAAAGAAATCAAGGAGGCATGTCAAGGGAGCTGTAGGCAGCTGCTCCAATAAAAATGATCCTCTGCCCTGTCTCCAGACCTGTGACCCACTGACTGTAGGAGAGAAGAGGTCCCTAGGGGAGGGACTATGCGACACTAGAAACTGTTCTTGGTAATGGCTTTGGCAGCCCTTCTCCCAAAGTGGAAATGGACACTGGGCTAAGGGGAACACTCAGACATTTCAGGGTCTGTTAAGAAGAGGTTCAAATGAATGTTGTTACCCAAGGACCCAAGGCGTCAGGACAGCTCATCTATGACAGCAAGGCACATGGGGGCTGGGTAGTAAATGGACTCCTGGTCCAGGACCTCCAGTGGCCACTCAGCAGCTGGCACAAGGCAACACTGAATTCTTGGCCTATGAGGTAAGACCTATCATAGTGAGGAAGGCCAAGAAGATTCTGAATCTGATGCCATCCTCCTCCCCAACCACCAAGACAGAACATGAGAAACAAAATAGCATCCTGGAGAGAGATCCAAGATGGCTGATCACTAGCAGCTCAGGATTGCAGCTCCCACTGAAAGAGCAGAGAACGAGAGGATGCCACACTTTCAGATCAATTTTTGTTGCTCACGCACCAGGAGATTCCCAGCGGAGGAGCCCCACGTGTCGCCAGAGCGACTCTTGAGGCCGGTGAAGCGGTTTTGCCGCTGCCTTGGTGTGGCGGTTCTTGGTGCAGTCAGAAAAGCACCATCAATCTTAAAGCTGCTGTTTTGGCCGGCATACTGGGTTGCTCAGATTCTAGTGCCGGGAATCAACAAGTTGGACGTCCATTCAGAAACCCAACTATAAAGACGGTAATTATAAAGACCACAGATGGATAAATTTATAACGAAGGGAAGAAACCAGCCTAAAAAGGCTGAGAATACCCAAAATCAGAATGCCTCTCCCTCTACAGGGGATCGCAGTTCCTCATCAGCAACAGAGCAAGACCTGATGGAGAAAGACTGTGTTCCATTAGCAGAAGCTGGCTTTAAAAAGAGGATCATAAGAAATTTCTGGGAATTAAAAGAACTTGTTCTAACCCAATGCAAAGAAACTAAGAACTTTGAAAAAAGGTTTGACGAAATGTTAACAATAACACACAATTTAGAGAGGAATATAAGTGAATTAATGGAGCTGAAAAATATAACACGAGAACTTCGCGAACTATGCACAAGTTTTAACAGCTGAATTGATCAAGCAGAAGAAAAGATATCAGAGGTCGAAGACCAACTTCATGAAATAAAACAAAAAGACAAGATTAGAGAAAAAAGGATAAAAAAGAATGAGCAAAGTCTCCAAGAAATATGGGACTATTTGAAAAGACCTAATCTACGTTAGATAGGTGTACCTGAATGTGACGAAGAGAATCAATCCAAGCTGGAAAATACGCTTCAGGATATTATTCAGGAAAACTTTCCCAACCTAGCAAGGCAGGACAATATTCAACTCCAGGTAATACAGAGAACACCACAAAAATATTCCTCAAGAAGACCAACCTCAAGGCACATAATCGCCAGATTCACCAGGGCTGAAATGAAAGAGAAAATACTGAGGGCAGCCAGAGAGAAAGGTCGGGTTACCCATAAAGGGAAGCCCATCAGACTCACAGCAGATCTCTCAGCAGAAACCGTACAAGACAGAAGAGAATGGGGGCCAATATTCAACATCCTTAAAGAAAAGAACTTTCAACCCAGAATTTTACATCCAGCCAAACTAAGCTTCATAAGTGACGGAAAAATAAAATCTTTTGTGAACAAGCAAGCACTCAGAGATTTCATCACCACCAGGCCTGCTTTACAAGAGCTTCTGAAAGAACCACTACAAATAGAAAGGAACAACCAGTATCAGCCTTTCTAAAAAATACCAAAAAATAAAGAACATCAACATAATTAAGAAATTGCATCAACTAATGGGCAAAACAGCCAGCTAACATTAAATGACAGTATCAAACACATATATTGTTATTAATTTTAAATTTAAATCAACTAAATCCCCCAATCCAAAGACACAGGCAGGCAAAAAAAGCCAAGACCCATTGGTATGCTACATCCAGATCCATCTCACATGCAAGGATACACAAAGACTCAAAACAAAGGGATGGAGAAAAATTTATCAACCAAATGGAGAGCTAAAATAAATAAATAGAAAGCAGGAGTTGCAATTGTTGCTGATAAAATAGATTTCAAAGCAACAAAGATCAAAAGAAGCAAAGAAGGATATTACATAAAGATAAAAGGATCAATGTAACAAGAAGAGCTAAAGATCCTAAACATATATGCACCCAATACAGAAATACCCAGATATATAAGACTTATAAAGAGACTTGGACTCCCACACAATAATAGTGGGAGACTTCAACATCAATATTAGATAGATCAATGAGACAGAAAGTTAACATCGATATTTAGGACTTGAACTCAGATCCGGAACAAGTAGACTTCATTAACATTCACAGAACTCTCCACTTTAAATACACAAAATATACACTCTTACCAGTACTACATCACACGCATTTACAGGTTTAAATGAAATATTGGTTGGCTGCTTGTTAATTATTTTTTCCCTCGTTTTTTTTTTTTTTATGTCTCTATTAGTAAACACAATTACAGGCATACCCAGTTTTAGACTGCATTCTAGCCCAGGCAATAAAGCAACACCCCTATTCTCTCTCCCTCTTCCTCTTCCTCTTTATTCCTTTCCTTTATTTTTTTTCTTTATTCTTTTTCTTTCTCTCGTTCTTCCTCAAAAAAAAAAAAAAAAAAAAAAAAAAAAAAAAAAAAGCATCCTGAGAGAAAAGGCATACTCAAAAAGCTGAGACACAGGGGATGGTCTCTATCATATCTTCACTGAATTTACCAGTTTGATCTCTGCAAAAATCATACAAATCCTGAGGAATGACACTCAACTACTGGAGACTCAAACAAGTAACAGGTCCGCTGTACCTCCACACAAGCTGGTTTTCCATGACAGAGTAGACTGACATGGCCTCAGGTACATGGACAACGGTTTAGTCAAAGTGCTGCTTCCCAACCCTATCCCGAAAGAAGACCAGAAACAGTTCACTTGGAGTTGGAACAGACAATTATGCCCCAGGGGTATAATAAGTGCTGCCTGCTCTTATAAGAGTCTGAATAAATGTGGAACACCTGCAAAGCACCACACTAGCCTGCTCTATCGGGGCACTGTGTTATCCAGACCGAATGAGCAATGAGGAGTGGCCAGAACAGTAGAGTCTCTGGTAAGACCCATGCCCTATGCAATTAAAGGGCCTGAGTGTCAGGAAAATATTTAGGGTTCAAACAGTTTGGTGCACGTCAGGACATCCGACAGAAAAGGCTACCAGCTTTGCGTGGGGCCCAGAGCAGAAGAGGGCTCTACAGTAGGTCGCAGAGACGGTGATCAGTAACAGGTCCTGCCCCTGTACCGCACAACACAGAAGACCCTCTGGTTATTGGAGGGAATACTTCCACATGGGAGAAAGATGCCACAGGGAGGGGCTGACTGAGGCCTCTGCAGAGACTGCGTCGCAGCTCAGCTTCTCACCATGCCCAACCCTGCTTCCATCCCCTCTGTGCCCCAAGGCGATGGTCCCAAGAGGATGCCCCACAAAACATTCTTTTTTTCCCCATCCTTTACTCTGTACATTATTTTATGTTTATACTGTCTCCCTTAAATACTTGAGATTTGTTAAGCCTTTTAACTACATTACTGACAACTCAAGCCTATTTAATGACACTTTCTATTAAGAAAAAAACACACAAACTCTAAACAGATCTTCCTCCTAACTTAAAACTACTAGTCAAATTGAGTACTCTCTAACCCTACTGCCGTCAGCTGACCCTGTGTGTGGCTCCCAGATGGGGCTACTCGCTGGTGCGTCACTGCACTCCGCTCCCACCAGTCCAGGCACACGTTGTGTCTGTTCCCAAACTAGACTGAGATACACTTACTGCAATTATTTCACTTAAACAATTCACAAAATAATGAAGTACAAGTGCAAAAACAATAGCCTACAGTTGTTTATACACAAAATCACACTTACATGAAAGCTTTAGAAAGACACCATAAATGCTAAAAAAAAAACTGCTATCATACTAGGTGTTTACAAATAGTGCTAATATACTAGAAAGATGCTGCATCCAAATTATTTCTTAAATGTCCAAATCTGTCTTCGTTAAAAAAAAGAAAACAAGAAACTAAACACAGTAATAGCTGCAGCAAGGGTGTAGTTTTTGTAAGAAAAGTCCATGTGGAACTCCAAACAGCCCCTCAACAGAAAGAGGGCTTAGACCTGCATTAAAAGATTGGCTGCTCTGAAAATTTATTTGAAGTAAGTTAGGAAAGATTTCAGGGTACCATACACTGACTATGGGGAGAAGTTAGCTATTGTGCAACTTGATACCCAACTCACTGCCCAGACAACTTACCGCTGTTAAGACTCATCCAAAACGAGAAACCAAGTTGTTATTTTTTTCAAAACAATGATGAAACTAAGCTCTTAACTATTTACTTCATCAAATACAGAAATAATAATACAAGACCTTTTGTAATACCTGAGCGGGAAAATTTTGTCTGAAAGGGGCCAAATGCCTTAGGCTTCGTTCTTCATTATTTTGTAAATCGTTTAAGTGAGGTAACTGCAATAACCACTAACTCTGCCACTGTAGCTCAAAAGAGGTCACAGACACTACCTACATGAATAGGTATGGCTGTATTCCAGTAAAATCTATTTACAAAAGAAAGGAGATGGGCCACATTTGGCCAGTAAGCAATAGTTTGTTGACCTCTCTTCTAATGTGGTAATAATAATAAACCCAAAGCAAACATCCATGATTAAATAACATCCATAGCATTAAAAAAAAAAAAAAAAAAAAATGCTTACCTTCCCAAGAGACTCCTGCAGTTGTACCTGTAAATATTCTGGGGGTAAGGCAGGAATATTCAGAGAGGCTTGTGAGAGTGGGGATACTGAACGGGTAAGAGAGGACTCAAAGTCTTCAACTGAAACACTGGATTGATTGCTGTTCACTACATTTTGCCTCAAAACCTCAGGATCCTTTCTTCCTGAATCATCCAATCTCAGAAGCTCGATTTCTGATTCAACATGTAGCAGCTCTGACTTCACAAGGTCTGTCCTTGAGGAGGCATGTGACGCCATCGGGAGTGCTCCACTTATCTGCTCTTGTCTAAAATGCTCTCTGAGGGCCGGCCAGAGTCCAGCAATCCATGGCTCCACCACAAGTTCTAAACTGGACAGTAGTAACAGAGGAAAAACAAAACAAAAGCCTAAGTTCTCCATCTGAATGCAGAACAGGAGAATGGCAGTCTGTCCATCTGGCTAAGTATGCACTTGTTAGAAACGCCATGAAGACCATTAGGACTACAAAACATGCTTTATGATTAAGCTTTTAAAAGCTGGATATATTATGTGTTCATTAGCAATGTAGCTGAAAACCTATGAATATGTACACAGGTAAAAGAAATGAAGAGGGGTATGAAGACATTCTAGTAATAAGATGATAAGGACAGAATTTCTCTTCATGTCTTAGAATTGGTAAACTTTAAGAAGATATAATTTTAAACAGGCATGCTAAATTCTGATAATGCTAACAAAACTTAACCAAAATCCAAGGCTACCATAATACTGCAAATGATCATTCCATCAATCAAATACACCATTTTTTTTTTTTGCCTAGTCAATTTACTGATATTTTTCCTACAGATTCAATTATCAGCAAGAAATCACTATGGATTAATGCCAAGTTCTTGGTTAAATCAACAGTTAAAGCCTTTCTCTCAGTCCTAAACAATTTTTTTCTTTTTTGGTAAAATTCCCAGGGAGGCTGACCACAGAAGAAAAAAAAAGTAATCATCGTTTGGGAAAGTTGAATTCATCATTAAATACATTTCTTAAATGTGGCAGTCCACCTGCTAAGTATGATAACAACAGCATTCCCTGAACAGACAAGTTTAAGTAGAGTCAGTGGATAAGACCGTGTCAGGGCAGTGGAAATAACATCACTTTTAATCACAACTCAAAGGAGGTATCAATTAAATTCTAATTCATAAAGATAATGAGTATCAAGAGGAGGCAGAGTTCAGACCTGTGTCTCATGACTCACGCTGTAATTTCATCATGCTCAGTAAGTGCTCATGTGGTGCACAGCTCAAAATTTGGTTATACATTACATCTGTCCTGAGGAGCCTTTGTGAAGACAAGTTTATAAAATTATAGGTTCAATAATAACAGCTACATTTAAAATGCCCCTCTCATAACTCAGAAATATTAAGGTGATAATATGCATAACCATTCACAGAGCTAGCATTCACTGAGTGAACCTTAGCAACTTTTATGTAGTAAATAAATGAATGTCATTTACTACATGACGGGCACTGTTCTAAAAGGACATGTATTAATTGATTTGATCCTCCTATGAAGCTTACACAGTAAATAGATTACTGTTATCTATTGCATAGAGGCAAAAATCAAGGAACAAAAAGCTTAAGTAATTTGACCGAGGTCTCAGTTAGTAAGTGGGGGATCAAGGATTTGAACCCAGGTATTGGACTCAAGTGTGCATTCATAACCCCATGTAATATGGTGGTACATCAAGCAAGAATGTCTTGAAAATATCTCCATTTCAGAAAAAGCAAAATTCAGGTAAGGTAGTTAGGCTGAAAAATCTAAGCAATGTAGTCTACTGAAATATACGGTCAAGAATTTTAATACCTACACCAATAAATCAACAGAGAAAATGAAAGCCTTTGAAGAGAAGTGAAATATAGATGAGGGATGGGCCTAACGGGTGACATAAGCATTACATTAATAGTTAAAGATAGCTCATACAAGACTAAGCATTTAATGTCACTGAGCTTCTGGCAGAAGAAAAAAGCTCAATATAAAGGTACAAAGCTAAAAGTGAATTCACAAGGAAATGTCACAGAGTTTTGTCACAAACAAGAATACGTGTGCTGGGATATGGAAAAAACCCACAGCATCACAGCTGAAGGGAAAGATGGAATAAGTGGGCACAGGGGTAAGTTCAGTGGAAATACAGCATGCCACAAAGCAAGACATTTGCTGAATTTGTCATTTTCTCATAAACAGATTATTCAACACAGTGAGTGAAAATTAATACACGCACCTAGTGGAAAAAAATTCAAGGGTGTGTGCTGTTATCTGGCTAAAATAGTTAAAGGATAAATATGTTATAGGACAGTATCTGTAAGACCACTGAATAAACACATCAGGATGATTTGAAAGTGGCACACCAGGTGAAATACTGAATTGTAAAAACAGTAACAAAAGTAATGAAGACAAAGTAAATGTCTGTATATGTCTGACTGGCATGATGGCAAATGGCCATTCAGAGGGTAAGAGTGCGCCAAGCAATGCAGTCTGCAGCGAAGGCCCACAGACCCGTGTTCTCTAACAGCAAAGAGAGGCTCGCCAGGCTCCCTCCATGTGAAGACACCAATCTAATGGCTCCGTGTGTACAGCAGAGAGAAGTGCATGCACTACTAAAGTCCCTAAAAAACGTGGTAATTTCTGCAAATACCTACACTGTTTAAAGATAACTGTACTAGCACCTTTTCTAACTCTTGCCATTAGCATATACTGAGAAGGATGAAACAGGCACAAAAGAAAATCAGCAAAATAGTTAAATCAAGCTCTGGCTGACACTCATGGGTCCTAAAGCTAAAACAGCTAACGATAGTAAAACACGAGGAAAATTTCAGTGTTAAATGAAAAGCCAACATGTTTTATAAATTAACAAACTTTCATCGTGTAGATGGTTTACTGGAAGAAACAGAGAACACAGCCCTTACCCTACAGAGTCATCTGCATGTCCAGTGTCATAGAAATGCCGGGCTCCAAGCTCTTGAAATCGTTTATCAATTATTTTTCCCCCATTGCAAAAGTAGGTGTATTCTGAATTCCCGAGACCTAGAGTCCAAATACATAATTACTGCACAATAAGGTTTAAATTTAAGGACATAAAGAATAGGTAAATAAAATATCTAAAACAATACTATTCCATGTTCTTATGGATGGAATTAATAACATACAGCTTCACTTTTATTCTCCTTGATTAATACCATGCATGCAGACAATTTTCTTTTATTTTACAACATAAAAGTACCAGACATAATGAAACAAAATACTTATTGGCCACTGTTGGAAGAAAAGACTTCACATTTTCATCTTCATGACTATGTGTAAAAATACGGAAATCTTAAAACCAGGATTGGACAGGTTGCAAAACCACAATTCTGTTATCTGTGCATTTTTCTGATACTGAGCAAGGGTCTGCCAACCACAGCTTCTGGGTCAAATCACACCCACTGCCTTTATTTGTAAATAAAGATTTATTAAAAGACTGTCAAGTCTATTTGTGTACATATTATTTATAACAGCAGACTTGAGCAGGCCTGCAAAGCCTACATTTATTTACTATCTGGCCCTTTATAGATAGAGTTTACTGACTCCTGATACAGAGAGGTACACCTGTCATATAAATAATCATAATAACAATGTGCTATAATGTTTCTGTGTTGGGGAAATTAGGAATTGCTTCTATGTCTTATGATAAAAAATAAACTTAAATTCCTCAGTCGTTTAGTCATCTCCATGTTCTTTCTCTACAACAGGGTGAGAAATGAGTGGTTCCATACATGGGCCTAACATTGACTAGAACAGAGGGATAGGCTTCTGTCTTTTCTTTATACTCTTTTTGAGAGATTTTCAAACAAGTATGTATTCTCTCTTACCCTCTCCAAAAAATAATCCTCAAAGATAGGCCAATACAGGTCACAAGTCAGGAATGCGGACCCTCAATTCCCCTCTGCTATCATATTGTGCTGATCTGATCCTTTTGATCCTTTAACGTTTTTAAACTGTGCTTCAGAGTCCTAGGTCTGTTTTTCTTAACCTGGGATACATGTTAGAATCACCTGAGAGCTTTTAAAAATAATGATGCCAGACCCCTACCTTGAAATAATGACATCAGAATCACTGGAGGTGGGCTTAAGTAATAGAATTTAATAAAAACTTCCCTAGCTAATCCTGATGCGTAGCTGGAGGATGAAAATCACCATTCTAGGTTCTTAAAGAAATTATCAAAATCACTTGGGAGTTTTTTGTTTTGTTTTGTTTTTCTAAACAAAGAAATGGCATGAGGGGTTGCCCCTTCACAGACTGCTTTAGTAGGAGTAGGATGAGGCCCAGCCACTACTATTCTGAAAATGTTCATGGCTGCATCTGAAGTGTAGCTTTAATTAAAATGCTGCTCAAGAGGTTCTGCAGAGGTGTGGCTCTGGGGAAAGAGTCATAAAAGGTAGTATATTATATGCATTTATATATACTATATATACAATATCTACATTAAAAAGAAAACCTATATAATCACACTTCATAGTTTTGAAAAATAATCCAGATACCAGAGATAATAATAGTATAGTAAGATCAGAAGAGAGAGTCCATTACCCAATAACCCATACCGCAGGTGAGCAAAGAAATCAACCGGCAGTGTTTTGTTCTGTATTTCCTTAACAAACTTGCGGGCTGTGTCTGGTGGGTCTCCGGTGCCCGTGGTGGAAACCACAACAACAAGAGGAGCTGTTTCGGTTTTTAGGTCATACTACAAAACAAGGATATCAAGTCAAGGACCTAACGCTACAGGCGTTTTTGATTTAACACAGCAGCAAAGCAATTACCTTAGTTTCCTGTCTTGTATTTCAATTTTCCTCCTTGCCAGGTTTTTTGAGATGTATGCCAGAGTGACCAACCCAATGACTAGGTGCTCTCAGCTTAATCAAGTTTCCTAATGCAGGATTTCATTCAAGGAAACCATGCATCTGATTTGTTGCTCAATCATCAAGAGGTTGGGAGGATTAACAGGTCTTTCTCTTATGTGATATACCAGAGGCAGAGACCAGAAAGGCAGAGACAGGACCCATCCCAGGTTTCCATCTAGTCTAGTCTTTCATTTTTAGAAAAATCAGAGGAAACAGGATATAGTCAACTCTTTGCAACTAAGTCATTGGCCAAATATTAACATGAGCTCTAATATGCAAAGCAAACCAGCCCTGCTAAGAGCCAATTATCAGGCAGCTAGGCACTGTGATGAGCTGCCAAGGAAGAGCAGCAGCTAACAGAGTGTAAACATCTTTTCATAAGAAAGCAAAAAAAAAAAAAAAAAAAAAAGCAGGGAAAGAGATGTTAAAATGGGGATAGGGAGACTCAGAGATAAACAGAACAGATACATAAGCATTCAGGATTAACATGGCAAGACATGGAGGTAACAAACAGGATACTGTGGTAAAGAAAGGCAGCCATAAAAACACACCAGCTCTGAAATCTTCAGCAAAACATAAAACCAGCCACGTGTACTGCATGTGACACTAAGGCAGAGGGACAAGAGGGCATTTTAAAGCTGGGAAATTAAAAGTGTTACCCCTTCTAAATCAGGGACTTGGCTATCAAGAACCGCTCCTTATTCTCTCAGGTTTCTAGAGAGCTGAGAATATAATTAGCTATAAGTCTGGTTATAAACTCTTACAAATCATGTTTCTTTATTCTTATTCTCATGTTAAATTTAAATATTTCAAATAAAGCACTTCCCTGTCCTACTTACAAAGACTTCACAAGCTCTGCTGCCCATGAACGCTATCTAATTTGGCTCCAAATAATTCACTTTATTTTTCATGCTGGTAATAGAGTTAACAACTTGAGCTAACTTTTTACCAAGGCATTTAATGCTTCCAAGAGTCTACACAGTTCTGTGTTAAACTCTGTATGCATAAAGTTTGTATAAGTAATGTCGGTCCCTTTAAAAAGGACTATGTGAACTAGGAAGGAGATTAGATCATAAACAGCTAGAGAAACCATTCAGTCAGGGAGAACAAACAGCATGACTAACTTGGTGTTAAAAAAAAATTTCACTGTTCAACTGACTGTCAAACACCTGCTGATCAACTTACCGAGGTCAACCACAAGGGGCCAAATCAGGGGTAGTTTTGATACTGATGACCTTGGTTCTGTCCAAAGTAACAGATTCAGATTACATTTCATCATGTGGCACTGCGATGTGAATTTAAGTTACTGTAGAATGACAGGGCCTGCTGACTGGTGGTCTCGTCCAGGAAGCTCCCTTTTCTCTACTGTCTACCTCCAGAGTCACCATGGCAGGGCTGCATAAAGGAACTGGGTGAGCCTCCTATGAGCTGGGTTTAATTCACTTCAGCTGCACACAGTCTAGCATTCTGAACTAGAGTTTCAGGAAAGGCCAGAGGGGGTTGTGTACTTGAGTCAGAATACCGGCAGGGCAGTCTCTTGTGGGTCAAGATGGCCAGGGGGAGACCTATATTAATTCTAGCTAAATTATAAGCTTGCTTGGTTCAGAGTACACTGAAGTTTGTATACCAAACTAAACTATATTATTGGTGCAGTTAATTAGAAATCGAGCAGTAACAGAAGGCCTACGGTGAAGACAATCTGAGAGCACTAACACCTGGGAACACCGAGGAGTGGTTGCAGAGCAGGCAATACTGCTCTGGTCCCATGAATGCCATCTCAACATGGAGACTGCATGAGAGTCTCATAAAGAGGGCTTATGCAAAGATCTCTGAGAAGGGAGGCAACATTTGCTCACAAGATCTGGGAGGGTCTTTGCAGATGGGGGCTGGCAAGGAGGAGAAAAGCCCTGCAGGGCAGAGATTACGGAATGCCTCAGGCTCTGCCTAGGTTCTGGGAATATGGAGTGATTTTAATTGCTCTATGTCCTCAAAGCTAGGGAGACAAAAGCTCCTGATGCATCGGGTGTGGTCAGACTGGGTGGCTCCTCATAGGCTATACTTCTGATGTAGATGCACCCTGGTAATAATCAGTGATAAACTCAGAGTACTAGTTTAGCATGTCTTAGAAGAATCTCAAGTGCTGTTAAATGCTCAGAGCACTAGTTTAGAATGTCTTACAAGGATCACAAGTGCTCCCCGCCACTTACCTACCCCTTCACCCTCCCTTTCTATGCCCATAAGATCAATGAGATTATGCCCATAATAAAAGTGTTTCGAGCCCAGAGCTGGGGCCAAGGCATTTCCCACTGCTGCATTGATCCCCTAGACCTATGCTGTAAATTCTACTCTTATGTCTGTCTGTATTTCCTCAATTCCTCCTCACCACAGGGACTAAGGGCACCCACGTACGGGGTTGGGGCCAGTACCCAACATCTCTGAAGTATTGAAGTGATATGAACTGCTTAGTGGTTGGCACATCATCTTGTGGTATAAAGCCCCTGCTAACTGTTAACACCTGAATTGTCTGAAATAGTGTAATCTGGAGGTGGCAACCTAAATAAAAGAACACAGGATTGTAAAGTTGCATATACCCTAAGGTAGGAATTTCTGCAGAGACTGAACTTAAACAACCAGTCCCTGAAGAAGAGTTTCATCTAGATCCCAACACTACTGCTTTAAATTCTATTTCACAAAAGAATCTAGGCAGTCTTTCATTAGGAGGAACTCTAACAGGAATGGCAAGGCCTTTCTTTTGGGGAAAAAAGTGGGGCACTAAGGTTCATGAGACAGAAAGCACATCTGAGCACTCACACATCTCACTTGTTCTCAACAGCCACTCTGTGAAATAAACAAGGCATATGCTACTTCTGCCATTTATAGTTAAGGAGTTTCTACTTGCTTCCATTTTTGAGGCCATTTAGTTTAATTCAATTGCACACTTCTAAATTTAAAAAAAAAAAAAGCTGCTGAAATCTTACCATACTATTGAACAAATAAATTTGTTAAAAAAACAAAGATTATCTGGTGGTATTTAGTGTCCTTTTCATAATCATCACTTCCCAACCAAAATTCTTCAAAGCACAAAACAGTAAAACCCAGAGTAACGGCTCTCACCTTGTTGGACTCACTAATGCAGTGAAGATCTGCAGAAAATCCATGTGTCACTGCTTGCTCACATATTTCTTCTGCTATGGCCTTTGCCTGTCCCTGCTGTGTGGCATATAATAACAGAAACCTCCTCATAACTCCAAGACATGTAACAGAGAAACTGAAAAATGAGGGAAAAAAGAGAGATCATCTTTTTAATGAAGTAGTAACAACCTGAAGTTATTAATTCTCCCTCAATCTTTAAGAAACTGCAACAATACACATACATACGGGTATGCAAGTCTTTTCTAAATTTGTTTTTAGCACGAATCTTAAATGAGCCTAAATAAGAATTCATCAAATTAAGGAATATAGGAATGAAACTCTTAATTCCATGGCTCAAAATCAGATTACCAGCTCGGAATTACTTGGGCTTGAATCTGTGGTTCGTTAAGTGCAACCCATTAAGGCAAGCTCCCCAAATGATCTTTACCACAGCCCCTTTACCCAAAAAATGGGACTATTACCATCTACCTGAAAAAGGATGCAACACAGGCCAACAACCTGAAAAAAGCTTAGGCCACCGTATCGCTCACCAGTCTTAAATATCTGTTGCCTCTTTTTTTAAAAAAAAAAAGTAAAAATTATATTCAAATGACAGGATTCTTGGTTCCTATTTGATCCTAACATTAAACTAATCAAAGTACTAAAGGTAACTGATGCACGTATTTTCCTTTGTTACTTAATGCAAATCAAAAATATGTGAGTGTATGGGCGTATAAGTGTGACATGGTAAAAGCCCCATAAAACTGCACACCTCAACCATACCTCGGCTTTCCGTTGAAACTGCTCTCTGTAACCCTGATGTGACAGGCAAGCAGTCCAAACCCACGCCATTTTGGCCCCTGCGGCTTGTAATAAGTAACTAAGGTTTGTGATTTCCACCCTACCCAGGCAATGTGTAAACTAACGCTTATCTTGACTTCTGTGAACCACTTAAGTAACAATTGGAATGTCCTAAATCCCCTGGCCCTTGGAATGTCCTGAGTCCTCACCCTCATCTCTGCCAGGAGGTGATCTACAGAATCCACTGGCCCTCAGAATGTCTGAAGCCCCTCACCCCCACCCCCCGAGGTGGTTTACAGGTATAAAAGGTCTTGACACCCTCCTTTCTGGACCACGGGTTGGAGAGACAGGAGTCCTCTGTGGCTGCCAGCAATAAAGGCCCTGCAATTTGGCATACTTTTGTCTTGGCGTTGACTTTCTATGCTCGCTTCAGTACAATATACACATACAAGCGCACATAAAGAATAAATATTTCCAATCCACTTAAACATTTTACTAACACGTTTTTACTGAAGAGATTAACAGTAGTAAAACAACACAAACAGATTTTTTTTCCCCATACTCATCTAACGGCTAAAACTGGAGAGCTGTCAATTTGTAGAGACAGATTTAAACTGAAAACCAAACCAAAATCTTAGTTTTTGGTGAATGAACCGTCAAGAACAGCACCGGGCATAAAACAGATACTCGATAAGTCATTTGAACAAACAATATAAAAACACTACACATTTACAGCTTACAGAAAATGGTGGGAACGATAATGTAAACCTTACTACAGCTAAAATTTCTGTCACTTCCCATGAAACACACACATCCTAAGGGCTTCCCAGGATCAATCAACCCCTCACCCCTGCTACTGGCCCACAGCCTGGAACCGCATTCCCACGACTCTCAGCAGAGGCCGGGGCCCCAGCAAACCCAGGGGCGGCGCAGAGGCCGTAGGCAGAGCTCACAGCCGCATCCCGCAGGGTAGGCGCTCGGAACGTCCCTAGCGGACGCCCCTCCCCGGCACGCCCCCCGTTCCCCACGTCTCCGAGTGCGGTTTCCCTAGGCCTGTAGCGCTTAGAACCAAAGGCAGAACAGGCGGAGGGCCCCACACCCCCCAGGGACCTCCCCGAGCAGAGGCCGACAGGGGGCCAGGCACGCGCTCCCAGGGGCACCAAAGCCAAGCCCGCGCCCGACGCCTGCGGCGACCCCCAGAACCTGAGGACCGAAGGAACCACGGGCGCACGCTCCCCAACCCGGGCCGACTCTCTCTCGGCGTTAGTGCAGGGCTGGCCGGCGGCCGGAATCCGAGAACTGTAGCCACCAGAAACGCTCACCTGCGCCCCGCCAGCCTAGGACTAAACAACACAGCGCGATTTCCACCAACCTTGAGCCCGAGCACACTGACGTAGCGCCCTGCTCGGTACCTAGGACCAATGGGAAGTTCCGCAGGGGACCTGGACCAATCATATTGCTCCGCCGTGAGCCGGGAGCCGTGCTTCCGCCCCGCCCCGCGTTTGCTACGGAGGCCCACGAGGCCCTGGGAAGCTCTGCGGCCACCTGGAGTGATTGGCGGGCAGTGCGCGGTAGGTGTCCCCGCGGGCTCTCGGCGTGGTTGGCCAAGCTGGGTGTCACAGACCTCGCCAGCTTTCTCCTCAGGCTGCGCCGCCCGGCCCGTGCCTCAGCGCAGGTCCCCGGGGCCCTGGGTTTGGGTGTGCTTGGCCCACGAATCCCTTTCAATTCTGGGAGGACGCGCCCCGGGGCTCCCCACCTGTCTGTCCTGCACGCTCCTGATCCCAGATCCCCCCGCGGCGTCTCTAGGTCTGGACTGGCTGCCTCACCTTCTCCCTTCATAGATCTGTGTTTTGCTTTTGCTTTTCCTACCTTTTTTCGATTGCCTGAGTAAGCTGTTTCTTCAACCCTGACCGTCTCCAATCACCGAGGGGAAATCGACAGCCTAGGGCCTTTCCAGCGCGTTTGTTTTCAGACGGAGTCTCGCTCTGTCGCCCAGGGTGGAGTGCGGCGGCGCAGTCTGCGCTCACCTCAGCCCCCGCGTCCTGGGTTCAAGCGATTCTCCTACTTTAGCCTCCCGAGTAGCTGGGACTACAGGCGATGCCACCACATCCGGCTAATTTTTTATTTTTAATAGAGACGAGGTTTCACCATGTTGGCCAGTCCACGCGTTTTTACCCTTGCCCTGCCCTAACCTCCCCTCATTTTGCCTACTTTACCTGTTCTTGGTTTGTTTGATTTTTATCGAAATGTAATTCCTTCCTTCAACCAACGTTTAAGAGCCACCCTTAAGAGCTGCACTGCCTGAGTTTGAACCCTAGCTCTGCCACTTAACCACCTGCATAAACTGGGCAAAGTGACTTTGTGCTTCAACTTCTTTGCGTAAAAAGATGGTAAATGTACTTAATCTGTGTAGGTTAATAGAATACCTACAACAGTGCTTAGCAAGTGGTAGTGATTGTTAGATGTCAGCCACTTTCTAACTCTAGGATGCAGAGACCTTGCTCCTCTGGTATTCATATGTTATTCATCCACTTTTTTTTCGGGTACTCGTTTGTAGTTTCATAAACATTGATGTTGGGTCAATCATGTTCTCAATGTATGTAACCATGTCTTTTTAAATTGTTTAGTTATCAAATTGAGAATCGGATGGCATGGCTTTAATCATCTTGAGGAAGAACCTTTATCGTTTATCTGATTTTCGGATGCATGGAACTCTGGCTACTTTAAAAAATCAGCCTCCAACGCATGTTCACAAGGTAGTCAAGGACCATCTGTGCCCTTGGTTCTGTTCATGGCAACCTGAGCCTTTCAAGGTCAGGTTCCATCATGCCCGTTGTAAAAACTTTCATTTGGAAAATGGAAATGACCTTCATCCACTCAGTGGGCCAGTATTCTCTCAAGTATCTGACTGGGACAGGCTTGACCAAAATATTAAAAATGAGGACAGTCAGAGGTTTTACAAGAGATTAAGCAACTTGACTTCATCGGAAGAAGTGTTAAGTTTTATAAGCACGATGAAAACCTTGCCTGACACTGTGGCAGCAGGAGCTTTACAACGAATCTGTGAAGTGGAAAAAAAAGATGGTGATCAAGGGCTGCCAAAAGAAATACTGGAGAATAGCATCTTTCAAGCTTTATGCTTTCAGTTTGAACAGGAACCCTCAGAGCTGTCAAACAGAAGTTTGGTGACTGCTTTGCAAGCTCTGATTCTGTTGCATGTGGATCCTCAAAGTAGCCTGTTACTGAACCTGGTGGCAGAATGCCAAAATCGTCTCAAAAAAGGTGACCTGGAAGTTCACAATCTTTGTATCCTTGGGGAAAGTCTGATTAGACTGTACGGTCCAGGTTGTGTGACACTAGAACTGATTATAAGTCAACTGCAAGGTGAAAAATTGGAAACATTTACCCCAGAGGATATTGTGGCCCTTTATAGAATCTTGCAGGCATGTGTTGAAAAAGTGGATGAACACCAGCCATTTTTAAATAAGATAAACAACTTTTCCCTTGCAATAGTTTCCAACCTGAGTCCTAAACTGATGAGCCAAATGCTCACTGCCCTGATGGTTCTTGATCAAAGTCAAGCACTTCCTCTGATTATAAAACTGGGCAAATATGTCGTGAGGCATATCCCACATTTCACTCACAAGGAGCTTGGGAGAGTCTTGGAGGCGTTCATATATTTTGGGCACCATGACAGATTTTTGACAAAAGCCCTAGAGCAGCATGTAGCTGCACTCCATCTCACGCTGGATCCTGAAGTTGTCAGCAGAATCATGGAGTACTGCAGTAGAAAACTGATTCTTTCAAAACCCATCCTCAATGCAGTGGCAGAAACTTTTGTTTGCCAATCAGAAAAATTTTCACCTAGTCAGATTTCTACATTAATGGAACCATTTGGAAAGCTCAATTATTTGCCACCAAATGCCTCTGCTTTATTTCGAAAGCTGGAAAGTATGCTATTCACTCATTTCAATTATTTTCCACCCAAAGCACTATTGAAACTTCTTCATTCATGTTCACTTATTGAATGCCATCCAGTCAACTTTATGGCAAAAATATTCCACCCCTTTTTCCTTCAACGGCTACAAGGTGAGTTGGTTATAACTTCTGACAGTAGGAAAAAATTAACCTTTGTACTGGCGGTGGTTTCAAGTCTCTTAAAGAGGCAATGCCTTGCTTTTATTTTTTCTTCCATAGTGATAAGATCTGAAGTTAACAGATGCTGGCGTAAACACAGCATGCTAGGATGTTGCATAGAGGGAGGAAAGCTGTCTCAGATAAAGTGACTTTTGCCTTAGCTGAGAAATTGCAGCATTCTTATGAGATATGGTGAGCTGATGGCAGTGGAACTAGCCACATTAACATGTTAGAACTTTTGATGAATGAGCAACTGTATCTTTTTTTTCATCTGAATTCAAGGCCACCCAAGTATGTCAAATTTCCGGCACTCCATAGTTAAAGGAAATTTTCGCTAATTCTCTGAACATTTTTTATCTCTTTTAATTGTATTCTGTAGCGAGGAACTTGGGTTCTTAGAAGTCAGTTTCATCTGTGGCAAGAGAGGGGGCATGGTTAATTCTAACAAGTTAATTTCATAGTGTCATTTAAAAGTATAATACTTCTATCTAGCGTGTATAAGGCGATATTCAATATTCATGATGTTCGCGTACATATTTATAATTCAGACATAACTATACCTCAATTCAGACATAACTATAACTGGGATGCTTTCTGTTTCAGATGAAGAATCTCATTTGGACAGATTGAGTCGGGCACAACTGACCCAACTTTTTTTAACCTCAATCCTAGAATGCCCTTTCTATAAGGTAAAAGTATGAACTGTGTGTGGCTTTATTTCTTTATGGGTGCAGTTTCCTTTTGTCTGCCCTGAAACTTTTTAAGTTCCTTTACTTTTTATCTGTCTCAATAACATCATGAAAAAGCAGAATTTCCTTTACTTGGAGCTAGTTGCCCCCAGATAGGCTTTTCTTTGATAAATTGACCCCATTTTTGTGTTCTTGTTCTGGAAGGAACAATTTTCTCTATGTAAGATTTCTTAGGAGGTTGTATCAGGTGCTGCAGGCATGTGTGTTATAGTATTTCTCCACTCTCTCTGAAGGTTTTATAGGGTTTTAGTACTAGGTTTAGTACTAGCTTTCCCATAGCTGTTTGTTATCAAAGTATGAATGTCTGGACTGAACAAATACCTAAATTATTTGCAAGGGCAGTACATTTTTAAGCCAAGCCAGAAGTTTCACTTTTATCTAATAGAGTTTAGTTTACCTAGAGTTTGTTCTTCCCATAAAGTACTATAAAGATTCATTCTAATATCTATCACATTCCTTATGTGGGATCAGAAATAGCACACCAGACTCTGTCATTCTTTCTCTGCTTCTCTATACTTGATTCTGAATCATAGAGTATCTGATTTTTGAAATAAGGTATAAGAATGGAAAAATACCCCCTTTTTAAACAGCTTAGACAGTCCTAAGTTATATAAAGATAAATAATAGTTAACCCCAATCTCTTACCATCGCTAAAGGAACAGTATTAGAAGCGGTTTCTATGCCCAAATATATACAGGTGCATAAACACTGTCTATTTTTTCTCTTGTCAAGGAATGAGACTGACTAATCAAAGTACAGTTTGCTTTTGTGCCCAGTATATCATGGACATTCCTTGAGACCAGTGCACACAGGTCACATGCATTCTTTTTAGAAAACCATGAGATTTCATGGTGTTTATTCCACTATTCCACTATTGATGCACTTTAAGGTTTTTCCCCAACATTGTCTCCATCAGGAATGCTGTAATAAACATTCTTGCAAATCCTGTCATACTGGAGCCCTTTTGGTTTTTTTCATATATAAACTAGATTCCTAAAGATGGGGTTACTGGATTAATTTTTGATAGATACTGGCAGATTTTTTTTCACTAATAGCTATAGATGTCACATTCCCTCAGCAATGAATGAAGGTGGCCATGTCTCCGCCACTTCTATTACAGTGTGTTAGTAGTCTCTTTCGTTTGTGTTCCTCGACTAAATGAAAGAGGGTATCGTACCATATATGTAAATTGCATTTTAATGAGCATTAATGAAGTTTAGCATATTTTCAAATATATGTTGGCCATTTGCATTTCTTTTGAATTGCCTTTCTACACCTTAATTTATTTCTGTTGGATGATTTGTCTTTTTTATAAGGACTCCTTGTAAAACAGATATTAACTATTATGAATGTTGTACTTATTTTCCCCTAATTTGTACTCATATTACTTTTTAATATTACTTATGATGTCTTTTTAAATGTTCTGTAGTCGAATCTGTCTTTTATGACTTCTGATTTTCCTGTCTCACTTAAGAGCATGAATATTTTACAACATTTTTTAAAATAATCTAGTTAAAATTTTATTTAGATCTTTGATCTAAAAATCGAATTTATTTTTACTATTTATATACGTATTCTAATTAACAAATAAAATAAAATTGTATATACTTATTGTGTTCATGTTTTGAAATATGTACACATTGTAGAATGGTTATATCAAACCAATTAACATGTGCATCACCTCCATACCTATCATTTTATTTTGTGGTGAGAATATTTAAAATGTACTCTCGCTGGGCATTGTGGGTCATGCCTGTAATCTCAGCACTTTAGAAGGCCAAGGTCAGGAGTTCCAGACAAGCCTTACCAACATGGTAAAACCACACGTCTACTAAAATACAAAAAATTTGCTGGACCTGGTGGCACATGCCTGTAGTCCCAGCTACTCTGGAAGCTGAGGCAGGAGAATCGCTTGAACCTAGAAGGTGGAGATTGCAGTGAGCTGAAGTCGTACCATTGCACTCTAGCCTGGGCAACAAGAGTGAAACTGTCTGAAAAAAAAGAAAGTACTCAGCCATTTTCAAGAACACAATACATTCTTATTAACCGTAGTCAGCATGTTGTACCACCTGGAATTTATTAGAGTCTGTAATGGATGA